CTGTACCCCAGTGCCCTCCCAGCCCAGAGGGACGAAGCTTTGCTCTCCGCTGTACCCCTGTGCTCTCCCTGCCCAGAGGGAGGAAGCTTTGCTCTCCACTGTACCCCAATGCCCTCCCAGCCCAGAGGGCCAAAGCTTTGCTCTCTGCTGTACCCCAATGCCCTCCCAGCCCAGAGGGACGGGGCCAGGCTCTGAATTGAAGGAATTTGTCCCAGAGCCTTTTGCAGAACCACCAGACAACAATGGATTTTAAGAAGTTTTCAGGCACATTTTGATTTTGGGACTCCTCCTGTTATTATAAAACACCTTCTATAGGAAAACCCAACCTGCCCACAAGGAGACAAAAAACAAAAAACAAACCCATTGCCACTGAGTCAATTCTGACTCACAGCGACCCTACGGGACAGAGGAGAACTGCCCCAAAGGGTTTCCAAGGAGCGGCTGGTGGATTCGGACTGCTGACCTTTTTGGTTAGCAGTCCAGCTCTTAACCACTGCGCCACCAGGGCTCCGCACAGGGAGACAAGCCAGGGCTAAATCCTGGGCTCCTTACCACATCAAAATTCTGCATTCTCTTTCCCTTTTTAATTAGGTAGTGACTCATTACCTCAGTTTCCCACTCCCTTTCTATCCCCAAAATAAAACCACACCCTCTATGTCCTCCTCAAGACTCCCTCCTCTCTGGCTCATTCCCATGGCCCCCTGCATCCAGCCAACAGCAGCCCCGCCCGGCTGCTGCCCCCTACCCAAAAGACACAGTGGGCTGCGGGCACCGTCAGCGTCTGCACCCCGGGAGCTGCACAGTAACTAGAAAACACAAGTCCCTGTCGTGCCACCCCCCCTCCCGCTGTCCCAGATCAATCAAGGAGATGTGTTACCACCCTCGGGCCAACTTGGAGGCTAGATACCGTTAAATGGTGCTAACATGAATAGCTGGTCATCTCTGCCTGCTTCGGTGCCCAACACACTGTCTATTTAATCCTCACAACTGCCTGCGACATAGGCTCTGTCCGCATCCCGCTTTACAGATGGGCAAGCTGTGGCTTAGACCCAGGTAACACTGCTGTGAAGGGGTCAACACCTGAACCCAGCTGGGACTTCTAAGCCCGTGCCCCACACCCACCCGCAGCCTCAGGACTCATTAACCTCTGCTGGCAAAGTTCACACCTCGTTACTGCAGTGAGCTCAGAGGAATGTCACTATGCTTTATCTATGCTTTATGTGACCACGCATGAGTGCTGTCTTCATAGGGAAGGATCACTTATGTTGTAACTTCTAAAAAGCTAGAGAGGACAAATCTAGTCAATGATTATAGATCTGGGCAACCTTTAAAATTTGCTGTTTAAAAACTACTCTGACACTTAAGTAAGTAAGAACATTACCTGGGGTTACGGTCAGCTGAAAGCAGTGAAGCTTGTTTGGATCAGGAAAATGCACTTTACAGGTACCTGCAAAAGAAAAGCACATCAGGCAGGTCTGAGACCCGGCAGCAGTCCGCATGCTGATGCTGACCTGGAAACCCGGGAAGGTCAACGGTGCTGGGCGGGGGTATCTGGTTTACAGGCTGGGCAGGCAGACCCCCTCACTGTTTGATGATAATTGTACTAATATGCTAAAATGGCAGCCAGTGATTCTTGCCATGTGTCTCCTTCTTTATATTCTTTACCAGTTAATTCTAAATTGAGATGTTTTCCTTCAACCTTAAATGGTCACTAAAAATAGAAGGCTTTCCAGTAATTTCAAGAATTATGCTACTTTGTAAAGAAGAAACCACACCCCACACAGGTTAATACACAGGGGATCACGGCTAGCTAACACAGGGAAAACAGGAAAGGGCCCAGGCCAAACTCCAGCCGGCTCACCTCACACCATAATCACTCATGCCCACTGTGGGAAGCGCAAGGTAAGAAGGTGCCAGGTAAGAGTCAGCTGCCACCCAGGAGTTCACCATGGCTCCTGTCTTGTTGTTTAAAGTCTTCACAGACTAACCACTGACTCAGCTTGCTCTGCCGGTGAAATGACACTCTGCTGACTAGGAAGGCAATGTTCTGTTCCCCCAAGCCGGAAGGCGCCTGGACCAGGACAGCAAGTCCCCGCTGCGAGAAGAGCTACTGGCTTTGGTGCAGGCAGGGGAAGCTGCCTATACCCCACATCCGCCTCCTTTACACAAATGACAAAGAGAGTCGTGAATATCTGTGGAATCAGCACCCAAGGAAGGAACGCACGAAGAAACCAGCTACGTTCATCTATAAACTCAGGAAATATTCTGCGAAATTCTTAGGTCACCTATTGACCTTACTTTTTACAAGTCCCACTGAAAATATTTGCTTAGTTTTGCAACATTTGAACTTTCATATTGGTGATGATTGCACAACATGATTGATGGAACTGGTCTCACTGAACTGCACACAAGAAAAATGTTGAACTGGCAAATGTTGTGTTTATATACTTTTACAACAATTAAAAAATGATTAAAATGGAAAATCTCTCTTATACATATTTTATAATAAAATCCTAAATAAAAACAGGAGGATTGAAATTCAGACTTGGGAATGGCCTTAGAGACCATCTAGCCCGAGGCCCTCAACTCCAGGAGATGACACAAAGGCCGAGAGAGGTCCGTGACTGGCGCAGGGTCACACAGGTCATCGACGGAAACTAGTTCCCAAGTTCATAACTAGTACTTGACTCTTCCCCCGTGCCCCACCCCATTTCATCTCATTGCTTCATAAACACGTCACGTACGGGACACTGAGGTATGATACAGAAACACAGCGCAGGACTGTTAGCGGGGTTTCATCTGTAAATACTTCAGCATGTAGAATCTCAAGACGCTTCCTTCTAGTTCTGATTAGAAGAAAACTTTCTAAGGTCAAGCAAATTCTCCAGATGTTCTGACTGAGACTCAGAGTAAGAAACATTCTCTATCACAACCTATTATGCTCATACATAAATATTAAAAATAAAATTTCAAAAAATAATATATACTTACCCTTCCTACACAAGTGTACGCCGATATGGTCTGTACGATTTTATTTTGTTTTTCAAATAGCTGGCTCTGGCCTACAAAACCGGTTTCACAACCACTTAAGGGTTGCGAACACAATTATCTTCCCATCTGAGATGGAGGCTGGAATGGGTCCTCTCACACGAATACTGAGTGGGTCACCGTGTCAAAACCTACGTTCTCTGTAGCATTCGCCCAAACCAGGAGACCTACTGATAAAATATTTCACACGCATTGACAAGTTTCCTCTGCCTCAGAACTATTTTTAAACTAAGTCTCAGGACAAAACGTTGTAACTCAAAAAATACTAGAACGGTCAAAGCTTCCAGACTATGGTCTTATGCAATGTAAAGGGAGAATTAACGCTGGGAAGATAAAAAGCACATTTTCCACGTGTCACGCGAGAGAGCTACCCAAGAAGCGAGTTTGCTGAGCCCACCACGCTGACGAGTGGTGACGAGGCAGCGGTCTCGCTGGGTCTGGGGCAGGCGCGCTCAGCAGAGCGGGGAGTCCTGTGGACTGAAGGCAGCTAGTCCTCCTTCCTCAAACACAGAGAGAAGTGATAAACAAGCACTTTCAGGACCAAAGACGAAAACAGGACTATCCGTTATTGATTTATATATCTTTTCACTCCAAAAAGGATGTGGGACAGAGTGCGGATGGAAGAGGTAGGAGACCCAACCCCGCTCACCTCTGCCGCCTTCAGGAGATGTAAGGCACTGGCGGGCTATGCTCGGAAAGGTTGGGACACCACCTTCTTATCAGAGCCCGAGAAAACATTCTGCTACTTTTTGGACAAAATTAAAATCCATTCCTGACATAGATGAAGAGCACAGTTTTTGCTATGCAAGGTATTAAAACATAAAACAATCTTTCTCCACACAATTATTTTGCAGTACTTAATGTGTGACTGGGGCTGCTATACTTACAAGGTAAATTAGCTTCAAGTTCTGCAACCTCTGTGGAAACAAAGAGATTATTGTTAATATTAGTCAACTACTCCACACAAGAACACCAGTTCTAGATTGGCAATTTCCTCCAGAATACTGAGGAAGGAAAATAAATTGGACAACTGAAACCCACACTGGGTGTAAAGTTTAGACTCTAAACCACTTAATTGCTTTCAAATACACACAGGGACTTAAAGGATGCCAAGGAGCGCAGGCCTTTAAAATTCACCTTAATGTGAATGAAAATCATTTAAAATTAACACGAAATTACCTATAGGTAAACAGTCACTAAAGTGTGTTGGAAAATCCTGTTCCCAACGAGCTGGACTCCAGCCTCACAGTCTGGTTCACCCCGTGTCTAGCCCAGTGGGGTCTCTGCTATCAAGGAGTTGAGTCTGGCCACCTAGCAGAAAGACCCTTGTGCTTCCTTCCTGAAGGGCCCACCCAGTCTGTGTTCCAGCTTTTCCAATGGGACCAAGCTCTCCACCTCCTGAGGGCCCCGGGCCTCGCTGCTGCCGATCCGTGGACAACGGGAGCTAGGCCTGTGGCCACCTGCTTGCAGCCACGTTCCTCAGCGCTGGTTCTCTGCCCTGGGCTCAGGTCCCTCTCCCACTGGTCGGTCACTCAGTGTTCAAGCACAGCACCACTGCACCAGGACAGAGCCTCGAGCCCGTCCCCTTCCCACTATTAAAGATCTGAGCTGGCAGAGACAGCCACCACTGAAACCCCTGGGCAGGCAGGTCAGCTGTGCCTCAGAGAGGTCAATAGCATGCCCTGAGGTCCTCAGAGCAGGGAGGGTATCCAGCTGTGGGAACTTGGGAAGGAGGAGGTTTCTGAGCTGGGCTTCAAAGAGTACGTAAAACTGAGGCCTGCAGAGGTGGAGAAAGGGCCAATCCAAGCAGATAAATTAGCAATGTGCTAAAGCAGAGAACACAAAAAAGCAGGGAAACCAGAAGGCACAGCGGCCAGTGCACAGGGGACAAAAACCACAGCAGAGTGATGGGGAATGAGGCTGGAAAGTAGGGCGGGAGGGCAGAGGGCCCTGAGGGCAAGGATTCTGGACTTCATTCAGCAGCAATAGGGAGCCGTTGGAGATTTCTGAGCAAGAGTTTCTAAGCTTTGTTCCAAGAGGACAGCTTCAGGAAGGGTGAGCAAAGCTGGAGGCCAGGAGACTGACGGGCAGCGAGGGCCGGGGTCAGGACAGAGGCAGGCTAGCGTATCCGAGGGAAATCAGGACTGGAGGTACCGAGCAACCGTGGTGGTGGGGGAGGGGGAATGAGGGGCTCAAAGGGGATTCTGAAGGTGACATGCTCGCCTGGAGCTGAGGTGGAAATGTGGGGGAGCCCCAGGTAGGGAGCCCCTGAAGACTGATGTCACCTGATGTCATGAGATTGGACAAGCCCGACCTAGGAGAAAGACGGGTGAGAGAAAGAACCTAGGCAGAATGCAGAGGAAAGGAGCGGCAACGTCAGAGACGAGCCAGGCCGAGAAGTAGGAGAGACCTAGGACGCAGTGACAGACGACAGGTTCTGTCAAAGAGCACAGAGCGCCCAGGGGAACAAGGGCTGAGAAAGGCTACCTGCTGTGGTCAGACCCTGCCGTTGGTCTCGAAACGGCGGGAAGCAAGTGGAGACAGTGAAACCAGATTATGGAAAATCAAGAAGCTAACGGGTGGTCAAACACTGACGCGCAGGTACACACGGTCTCTTCAGAAGTCGGGAGGGGCAGGATGGGGAGACGTGGGGCCCCCAATGTGTACAAGCGGAAAGCCAGGAGGGGCTGGGGGAAGCTGGAGGATGGCTCTGTCTGGGGCTGAGGGTCTGGGAAAGCCACAGGCCTTTGGGCCTCAGCGATTTGTGTGCACTGACCAAGGATCTGGGCAGTCAGGTCTGGCCATTACGTGTATTAGCTCCAGGGGGCAGGTATTTGGACGTGGCACCAGAAAGGGGGCGAAGGCAGAGGAGGGGCTAGGAATAAGCCAGAGCCCGCAGGACATACCCAGCATGCAAGCCAGGGGAGCGTTCTCACTCTGGGGGAGCTGGCTGGGGGGAGAAGGGAGTGAGAGCGGACCCTCCTCTTACCGAGACTGGAAAAGGACCTTGTCCGTGACTACAGGCAGGCTCGGAGTCAAGCTCCTCGGCAGGGTTGTACTGGACACTAAACACAAAACCACAATCCTGGGACGGCTCACTCCTGCTGTTCTCACACCAGCCACACTGGTCTTTACTCTCTGCAAACTGCGACCAGCCTCCCTGCAGCCTCCGCACTGCCCTGAGCCCCCGGGACTATCCTGCCTGCAAGTGCGCCAACTCCCATGGCCCAGCTTCACAAAAACCTAACGGAAGAAGAAACGTGCCGGGGGCATGGTGAACGCCTGTGGACTCAAGGGCAGGTACGATGTTCTGGAAGTGAAATGTTCGAGACGGTCTAGCGGCCGTGGACAGGGGAAAAGGCGAGATCCAGGGGACGGGAGGCTAGTAAGGCTGCTGACCAGTGCTAAAGACTGTGACAGTGGTGGGCGGGAGGCACGGGCACTAGAACCTACCCATCACCTGGTCACCTACAGGGCTGGGGGTGCGGAGCAGGGGCTGGCAGGGGCCAGCAAGGCGACGAGCAGGGCACCTCACCGCACCCTGGCTGCACGTTACAGCCACCCGAGGAGTCTGGGGTTTTTGTTTCTGTTTTTTAACTGCTTGTTGAGGCACGTTTGCATACCATAAAACAAAGACCCATTTTGGGTGTATAATTCAATGATTTTTAGTAAATTTTGGAGCTGTGTATCCATCACCACAATCCAGTACCTGTTGAGTTTCAAAAAATCCTGATGTCCCAGCCCTGCCCTAGACCAATTAAGTCAAAAGGCTCTGAGTGTTTTTACCTCCCAGGCAGAGTATACTGCTGAACACCGTTCTGCCACGATAAACGTTTACACACAGCTATTTAAATAAGTGAATTTAATAAAAAGTTCTGCTCTGTAGAATGCAAACTAGCTAAACCCCAAAGATAGGCAATCCCCGCATTTCAATGTCCAGGGAACTCAGGAGGACAGACCTGGGCCGGAAGAGAGCCTGCAGAGCCAGCCCTGTTACCACCGCACAGCCAAGGGTCACTGCAAGCTCAGGCAGGCAAGGCGCACGGCCTGGGCAAGAGGATCTCAACAGAGGCCTGGTGCTGTGGTCCAGTGCAGCGCCGAGTGCAGACCACCAGGCCGGCTCCCGGTGCTCGCCCGGGAACTGCCAAATGACAGCAACCAACAGCAGCATCAACCTAGGACAAGGGCAGAGACTAGGCCGAGGGACATGCAAACTGCCACACACACGGCAGCTCCCCCCCACGACCTTCCCGCCCGAAGGACTCGACCCTCACCTGTCAGGTAGCAAGAAATGATAGCAATCTTAAACAGCTAAAAGTCTCGCCCACTCCAAGATGCCAGTGCCTCCACCACCCGCTGGCCCGCGTCTCTGCGAGGCCCTGGGCACCCTGTACAACCCCGTGGCTGCATAACTTCCTTCTGAGAGATTAGACACTTCTCCTTCTTCACGGAAGGTCAGGCCACAGGGCCCACCCCAGGCCATGACTGTGCTGACAAATGAGATTACAAAGCCCTAGCTTCAGGGCCCTGGGCATGGCACACACCAGTGCTTGAGAAGTGCCTGAGAATGGGCATGTCTGCCAGCCGGGGGCAGTGTTCCGTGGGAGTGTCCTCTGCAGTCTGCACAGCACCCCCTTGTGTGGTTGAGGACCCAGGCACCTCACAGGCCCTTCACAGATGAAGGTGGTTCTTATCAAGGGCCAGCTCCAACCCTATCAGGCAGCTCCAGGCAGAGCAGCTGAGCCTGCGACCAAGAGATGTGGCAGCTACTTCCCTGGAGACTCCAGGACTTCCCTCAGCTGAGCCACAACCCCTCAGACTTGTCTTATTGCTTGGCCTTCTCCTGTCCCTACGCACCGAAACCCTCAGCCCCCATCTCCTCTGCACTCCCAGCACCCACTCACGGGGCCCTGATCTGGGAGACCCTTGGCCCACGTGGCAGCAGCCCCCACAGAAAGAGCACTGCTGGAGCCGGGGTCCAGCCCCCACTTCCATCCAGTCTCAGGGCTCCCAGCCCCACAGGGCCCTGGCCCCACCGTGGAGGAGCAAGGCTGCAGCCCCAAAACCAGCCCCAGCCCCCTGCAGGCTCAAGTCCAGGCTGATCTGACCAAGGCTGCCCACGGATCTGTCCCTTCTTGTTCCTGTATTTCCAGGGCCGACCCTGGTTTCAGTTAGCTCAGTTCCCAATCCACACCTGAATGTAGACTGATACAGGCCCTTGGGGGCTGTGGGCGTCACTACCAGTAGCTGCCACACACAGGCACTCAACCGAGTGAGCGAGCAAGTGAGAACGGGAGGGAGACGGACACGTGCCCAGCTAGCCATCGTGGAAAGGGCCCACTTTCTGACAGACAAGGAAGCAATCCTGCCCCAACGGCTTTGTAGCGGGGTGGGGAGTACTACCACACCCAGCCCAGTGTGGCTGAAAACCCGGCAGTGCGTTCTCCCCGACCTGACAGCTCCCGGGGTTAGGGCAGAAGGCATCCCAGCCCTGCCCGAACGCTGGCACTGTCCCCCCTCCCAGTGCTGCTGCCACAGCCTCTCTCCAGCTCCAGCCTGGAGGGCAAACAACCACCCAGCGCCGGGAACACGGGGGTGCCGACAGGGAGCCCTCGCCCACGCGGGGAGGCCTCGCCCGAGCAGCCACTCATCGGTGGGGCTTCCTGGCATCTTCTCGGGAGAGCTGGCCGCAGCCCCCGTCATCTGTGGGAACTGGGCCGCCACAGCGGGAGAACAGAGAGTCAGGTGTGCTGCCCTCTCGGGCGCCTGGCCCTGCCAGCCCGTAACTGCCCACACCCTGGTCAGCTCGGCCGTGGCCATCTGCTCCAAGCCAGGTCTCACATCACGGGAGGCCAAGCAGGACGTTGGGCCAGCTAGAAAATGACAGCCGGTTCGCCTCTCAGTCCTCCCTTTGGGCTCTCAGCACCCACAAGTGACAAGAAACGTACCACTCAGGTCCCCTCAAACCAGGGCTGCCACGGCCAGCCTTCCACTCTCAGTCCTTTCAGGGCGTGCCTGACCCGCCTGCCCGGGGCCACATCCCTCCCAGGAGAGGCCACATCAATGACTGATGGAGGCCCAGCCCTCTCGCCTGACTGGGGACAGCTCATGGGTCCATCACTGCAGCCCAATTTCTCCCTCTGCCCACTCCCGCCCCCACAGTGCTGGCCCAAGGCTACTCCTTCCTGACGATCCTGCATGCCAGACCCCCTTCATGCGGCAGAAGCAACAGCCTCCAGGAGCCTTCTGCTTGGTGGGCTGGCCAAAGCTACTACGCTGATAAAGGCCCAATCAACTTTCTAGCATTCTCTACTCAACAGGGCATAAATCACCTGTCCACTGCCCAGGAGGACAGCAAAACTCCAGACTGCAGAATGCAACCCGCACTGTTTCTCCAACTACCTCCACCGCCATGTTTCCGCCAAGTCCAGTTCAAGTAACTTGGACTCCAAGTCTACGTGCCACACCCTGTGACAGCCTGGACCCCACCGTACTCTACACAGCACCAGGTCCGCCAACAGTAAACCCCAGAGGAACGATGGCCACCACACCTGGACTGCACACACAGGGTCAGTAACTGCCCCCATGGCAAGCCAGACAAAGGAGGGGTGGGGCATCTCGAGGTGGGGACGTGCCAGTCATCACAGTCTTCTCTGTCACACACCCTCTGTTCAGGGCCTGGCTCTAAGGTGAGGACACCCTCTGTTCAGGGCCTGGCTCTGAGGTCAGGACACCCTCTGTTCAGGGCCTGGCTCTCAGGTCAGGACACCCTCTGTTCAGGGCCTGGCTCTCAGGTCAGGACACCCTCTGTTCAGGGCCTGGCTCTCAGGTCAGGACACCCTCTGTTCAGGGCCTGGCTCTCAGGTCAGGGCTGCTCTTGCCCTTCACCCACCCTCCATCACAAGCCCAAACTACTCACCACTCAGCCAGCCCTGCCCAGCCCAGGAGCCCCCGAAGAAGACACAGGCAGCTAGAGGCCATGTCAAGGGTCATACAGAGTGCTACTGCCCACAGCCCCCATCAGCTGCAAGCGCTTTGGGCCCCAGAGACAGCCCCAGAACTGTGACAATCACCAGGATGACAATGGTGTCATGTGTTGTTCTGCATCTCTCCTTTAAGAGTCTGGCAAGGTTCAAGAACCTTAGCTGGGCCCTAGGAACCCTGACAAAGCCATCTCCTGTTCCAGGGCTGGGGTGGGCTCCAGCTTGGTGAGCCTCAGTGGGCTGCGCTGGGCTGGGTCAGGGTCCAGAGCCACTGAGCGCGTCCAGGTGAATCCAACAGCACCTCAGACTGGCTTCTAGATTCTCCTTCTCCAGACCTGCACTTCTGTTCTGCTCACAAGGCTTTTGCTTGCTGGGTCTGCTCCCAGAGCCTGCTCCTCACCCCATATGTGGGTCTGCCTTTCATACTGCAAAACAGCTACAACCTGGCACGTTTCTTAACCTCTGAGTCTCAGTTCTTCAGCTGTAAAATGGGGATGAAACCACCCAGCTGGCAAGGCTTTGCAAAGGTCGAACAGGCATCACCCCCATACAATGCCCACCAGGGGGCCTGGCCCTCAGTGCTCAGTGGACCACAGCTGTGGTCTACCACTCTGATGATAGGGTGAAGGCAGCCATGGACAGCCCAGCCAGAATCTGAGTTAGTCTACAGGCTGGGCCTTCCACACTCCACCTCCCCTGGCACTGAAAACACTGCCACTCACAGGACTGCAACAACACGCCTCTCAAACCCCTTGGCCTGGCTCGTTTGGCTCCTGGCTTCCTCAGCAGGTAGCACCCTTGAAGCCAGAATCTGCGAAGAGAGTCAAGTCCTATCAGGCCCACCCAAGCAAGGAACTCTAGCCTATACCCCCCCCTCCATCCTCTGCAGCTCCTGTAACAGACTCTGAATATAATCTGGTGTTCTCACTGCCTTAGCAGGTAAAAAACTATCCTCACTCCATGCAGTGCGATGGATCACTTTTACATGGCTTTTCTCGCCATGATCTTGCAACCCCCACCAATGACTGGGTGGGACTATGCAAATAAGGTGCTTGTGGCCCACCAACAGGATCGGACAGTGTCTTAGTCATCTAGTGCTGCTGTAACAGAAATACCACAAGTGGATGGCTTTAACAAAGAGAAGTTTATTCTCTCACAGTCTAGGTGACTAAGAATCCAAATTTAGGGTTCTAGCTCTAGAAGAAGGCTTTCTCTCTCTGTTGGCTCTGGGGTAAGGTCCTTGTCATCAATCTTCCTCTGGTCAAGGAGCTTCTCAGCACAGGGACCCCAAGTCCAAAGGATGTACTATGCTCCTGACTCTTGTTTCTTGGTGGTATGAGGTCCCCCTGTCTCTCTGCTTACTTCTTTGATATCTCAAAAGAGATTGACTTAAAATACAATCTAATTCTGTAGATTGAGTCCTACCTCGTTAACATCACAGAGATAGTATTTACAACACATAAGAAAATCACATCAGATGACAAAATGGTGAACAATGACACAACACTAGGAATCATGGCCTAGCTAAGTTGACACACATTTTTGGAGGGACACAATTCCATCTGTAACAGACACCTTGCTAATAATGCAAACAAGGTGCAAGGCACCCTTCTAGAGGTGGGACTATGCAGGTAAGGTATATGGAACCCTAACAAGGGGATTGGTCAGTTTTGCCATCCCATTAGGATTAAAATAAGCCATCCCAGAGGTGGAAAGAGGGCACCTCACTACCATCAAGAAGAGACGGGAGCAGAGCTCTTCCTTTGCACTTGGGGTCCCTGTGCCGGGAACTTCCTAGACCCAAAAGACAGAGAAAACTGTAACATCAGAGACAGCACTAGACGGTGAGAAACAGCAGCAGAGAAACGGTGGCAGCAAAACCAGGAGACCAGCACAAGATGGCGTGGTGGGCTTCCCAGCCCACGGAGCGAGATGGCTACAGCGGGCGTGCCGACCCACGGAGCGAGATGGCTACAGTGGGCGTGCCGACCCACGGAGCGAGACATCTGAGCACCTTCTGGTCGAGGCTCACTGGCGGGGCAGAGTGTCTTCGGGCATTTATTGGTGGCACTAAAGAGCTTTATAACACTTGCCAGAGCAGGCCAAGGGCCAAGGGGCCAAGAGGCCAAGGGCCAGAAAGAGTCCTGCCTGTGGGCATGGCTGAGAAGAAGCTGTCCTGATCAAAGAACTGTATCCTCAGTCATTCCTGATCCTGAATTGTAACCTGCTACTTCCCTAATAAACCTTATAATCGTGAGTATTGTCTGTGAGTTCTGTGAAGCCATTGCAATGAATTATAGAACACAGCAGAAAAGCAGGGAGTGCCATATGAGGGACAGCTGGTGTCAGACTTGAAGGTTGGATGACGAAGGTAGGTTTGACCTCCACCTCACGGCAATCAGCCTTTAGCTGATGCTGATTCTCTCTCCTCCCCCTCCTGAAGTTAGAGGAGGTCAGACACCCCCTCCCGCTACAATGCCATTCTTACACTCCACTGTTAGCCTATCAGCCACCAGGCTACTTTTCCCAGAGCCAAGTAAGACCCACAGGCAGGAGGAGAACAAGGCAGAGTACTCGTCCTGTCTCCACCAGCCAAACCCTTCCTGTTCCCATTCCTTCCCACGCTTAGCAGAGGTTCGCTTCCAGGAAGGCTGAACACATTGCTTTTAACACACAAGTTCTCCTGTCATTAGATGCACTTCAGGACAACCGAACACTAACAATCCCCATATCGTCCACCTAAAAAAACATGAAAACAGGCAGTTGTAACAAACGACTTAACCTTTCCTTGCTTTCTAGTTGCTATACACTTAAGAAGTGTCAACACATGTTGTAAAATAAAGTAAAAGCACTGCAAATTACGAGCTCCTTAAGGTCAGGAACTGCTTCATATTTTGCAGTCCTCGTGATCCTGGGAAACTGCCTTTGCACTTAAATGAGTGGTGAACTGTAAATGAGTAAATGCAAAATTTACACAAGTACACAAAGACATGCATATTCACACACACACATCTGTACACACATTTGGTGAACCCTTCCCTAAAGACAAAGTCTTCCCTTATCAGCAAGGAGAGCAGAATGACTACAGCTCCAGGACGCTAATCGTGTTGTTAATTCCATCAAGAGAACTAAGTCTGCAGAAGGCTCTCCTTTGGCTTTTGACCTGAATAAAATGGATTCTGTAAGGATCTTAAACCAAAAAAACAAACCCACTGCTGCTGAGTTGATTCCGATTCATAGCGATCCTATAGCAACCCTATAAGGGATACCCTAATTCAACCCCCTCCCTTATGGACAGGAAACTATGGTGCTGAGAAGGCAGGAAGAAATACTACACACACACACACGCACGCACGCACGCACACGCACACACGTGCATACACTCATTCACACACTTGTACACACTCACATATCTGGTTAGGTAAGGGCAGCACCTAACAAGACTGGGCCTGCTGACTCCCAGCGCCTGTTCTTCACGCTAGCATGCTGGTAGACCCCATAAAGAACACTCAAAGTGTATAAGACACCCTGGTTTCTAACACCATTTGCCCGCCATTCACATCCTCAGTGTCTGCACAGCACCAAGGCCTTCCACGTAGGTGATACATGGTTAGATTTTTAAGTATTTTCAAACAGGTATTCTATTCAGCTATAGGCTGCTTCATATCCAACAGAGCCTCTACTCAAAGTTAACTCTTCGCCAGCCCGACCTGCGTGCACATCATTACCTTTGACGAGCAGCTTGTCCCTCACAGACACCCTCCGTGTGGAGTCGGAAGCTGTGGCTGACGAGCGGGGCCCTTTGAGACCATCATCCCGCTTCAATTTGCTTGCCAGAGTTAGCATCACTGCTGCCTTTACCCTAAAAACAGGAATAAACATGGGGTCAAGGGCATGTCTCTAGACACCAACACTGAGAAAAATGTACAGGTTTCTAAAGCTTTTTTCCCACACACACGAGGTGCAACGTAAGACCGGATCATTTCATAATGAATTTGGTACTCTCTATTCCATCGTCCATTGGTCGAATTTTTTAAAGTACAGATTAAGGAATGGAGAGTCATGCATTTAGCGAAGATTTGCCGGGCACCCACTAGATGCCAGGAGCGTGCCAGGCCCGGGGCGCGAGGCTGACAAAGTCACATGGTGCGTACGGTCTAGGGGAATCCTGAGTGTCTCGCCCAGCGTGCCACCACGGCGAGGGGTCCACACGGTCCACGACTGTACACCGGTGATCCGCCTGTCCCCTGTAGTCCATCTGTCCACCACAGACCGAGGGGCGCAGCACCCTCTTGGGGAATCAGGGTGCCGCAGTGCTTCACTTTCAAAAGCTGTGACAAAACAAGTTCCTCGAATTTCAAATCTAGGCAGCAACTCTACTCCCCATTCCCACTCCATTTTACAGCTGTGGGCCCTGGGACAATGGTGGCCTACAAAGTGGGGTGTCCAAGGCCACTGGGCTGCTAGAAGCCACCACAGAAACACTGGTGTCCCTCCTAGGGATGACCGAAATACTTTTATCTTCAGCGCAATGGTGTTTCAGGGGTGCAGATACACATCAAAACTGATGAAACTGTCCTCTTTAAATACACGCTCTTTAATGTATTTCACTCATACCTCGATAAAGTTTACAAAAACATGAAAAAACCCAACACTAGTGTCCTTGTTCCACATGCTATCTCCCCATAGACCTACACAGAGACACGGACCACAGCCCAGAAGCACACACATCTTCACAGCTCTACCCTGGGCAAGGGAGCTACCGGCCCTCTTGATGGGGTAACTTCACGAAGTGGGAGGGTGGAGGAGAGAGTCAGGAACACCTGTGGGGACTTCTGCCCACAGCTATCAGAAAACACAGGACTGTGGAGAGCCCAGCTCTCTTGCTCTGTCCCGACCTGGAATGATCTTGTCAGGAATCCCATAAGCAGATCTGGATCACAAAACAATGTTTGCTTTCCTAGCCAAGTCACGGCCACGTGCCCGACTTGAGCACTTCAGTCCTGCCACGTGGTCAGGTTGCCTGATGATGGGCCAAGATGCGTATCCCTCACCCGGGGGTCAGCTGGATGCACCGTGCACCACACAAAGTCTGCTTGGCTTTTATCCTCTGGCTGACCTCAGCAATGCCAATCCAGCAAAAAAATAACAAATACAATCAAAGCACGCGGAGAGCTTGGTAGGCTGTATCATACTAAAGAGCTCGTGGAAAAGCAAGGGCCAGGGCTCATGCCTGGTCCACGCCCAGCTCCCGGGGGATCTGCACTGAAGTAGCCCCTCAGAAAATCCTGGCTAATGCAACCATGCATAGAAAGAAAGGTTCGTCACCAAGAAGATTCTTCTGTGGCACTGCAGTCTGTGGACTGCTCTGAATTCCTTTTTACATCCTCCTACCACTCCATAGGATCCTTGGTGGTGAAGTGGTTAAGAACTCAGCTGCTAACCAAAAGGTCAGCAGTTCGAATCCACCAGCTGCTCCTTGGAAATCCTATGGGGCAGTTCTACCCTGTCCTATAGGGTCACTATGAGTTCAAATCAACTCAACAGCAATGGCTTTGTTTTTTATTTTTGTTTACCACCCCAGAAAGGAGCCCTGGTGGTGCAGTGGTTAAGCACTCAGCTGCTAAACCAAAGGTCAGCAGAACAAATTCACCAGCCACTCTGCAGGAGAAAGATGGGGCAGTCTGTTTCCCTAAAGATTACAGCCTTGGAAACCCTATGGGGCAGTTCTACTCAGTCCTGTAGGGTTGCTATGAGTCGGAATCAACTTGATGGCGACGGGTTTTTGGTACCATCCCAAAGAGTTCTTCTCCGCAGGCAATGCCCCACACTTACCCCTGAAAGAGTCAGATTCCTGACTTGTTACCTTCAACAATTTGTGGCCTTTAATAAAACACTGACTGTGCAAGGTAGAAAGAAAATAAACACTCATGCTTTCTTTTCCACAGAATAGAAAACTTGTTTCCCTGACAGTCTAGGAAATCAAGTATATTATGGCCATCTATGTCTCCAGTACTGGAATCATTCTTGCATTCCACTTTAGGAATAAACCAAAGTATAATTTAGGAATGTTTCCATAGCTGTCATACTAAATCTATACAAAGGGATGTGAACAAAAATAACTATTCAAACTGTCAAGGGGTTAGTGGGATACCTGCAGTTGCTTCCAAATTCTCTTTTCTTCTTCACTGGGTTTTGCGTCTCAAGGATCTGGTTTAAAACTAAACTTCTCCTTCGCTGCAAACTACACTCGGACTGAGGCAGCATTTTCAGGAAAAGATCAGCTACTTTGAATAGCATGCTCAGGCTCTAAATTCCACAAGTTGCCATTTTGCCCAGTGAAGTTCCTCCTCTGGGGGGACTTGCTTTCAGATTGTTCAAAGACGAGGATTCTGCGCCATTTTACTGGCTCAGCATTAGTGTGTGTAGTGGCAAAATCAGGCCATGCCATGTGTGCGGGACACCACGGGCCAGTCAGTTGGAGGTATGCGGACCTCTTCGTTTACAATTCCTTCGGCCCTTGTGTAAAAGATGGAACTGCAGGCAACACTCGACTTGTCCAGCCAAAGGGGCCCAGAACAGGACACCAAGAAGTCCACACGCCACCCTCCATCAGAATGCAGTGCCCAGGAACTCTCAGACGGCAGTGGTGCCCCCTGGTTGGATGGCCAACCTATGGAGTCCAGCCCCATTTGTTTTCAGTAAGAAACCTACCCCTACCTGCTTCGTCTACTATCTGAATGGCACGTATGCCCAGGAGGGTGCCATCAAGCCCCACACCACTAAGCCTAGGGATTGCTGCTTCTAGACATCTCTCTCACCTGTCCCATCCCAGTACCTGTAAGGGATCCCACACCTTCACCCCCCTCCTCACACAAGAATACTCTACACCAGGCAGGCCAGCCTCCACACGGTTCCCCAACACCCTGCTCATTTCTGGAAGGTTCTGTTCATCCTGACACCCAGGACTGCAATGGCCCGCTTCCCTTCACCATCCCTTCCATTGAGTCTCTACCCAGATCCTAGCATCTCCTCCAAGAAGCCTTCTAGGAGACTCCAATCTATCCTGATCCCACTTGGGCGCAGGAGGGAATGAGCACAGAGGAGCAAAAGTACAACTGGGCATGCTGTAAGGAAACTGAGCCCAGGGAGGGGAAGGCCACGCCCAAGATCACACACCAGCAGAACCAGACCCAGAATCCAGGACGTAGATGCACTCATGCTTTGAAGATGTCCTCCCTCCTCTTCGCCCTTCCCGGGGAAAATTTCCACACTAACCTTGGCGCCCCCAATTGTGGGTAGCGCCCCTCGGTATTCCTCCATCCTTCCCACTGCAGGTAAGCTGCAAGGGGGAGTGCTCACCATCCCCCCGGGCCTACTGCTCCCAGGGCCTAGCGCGACTCCCACATCAATCCGCAGTCCGGCGCCTGCGTCCGAGTCCCTCCAGCCACTCGGGAGCCGTGACCTTGGGCGCGGCGCGCGGGCCCCAGTTCCCTCCTGTGAAATGGAGCCGGCGGCCCCCCGGCAGCGCTGCGGACAGGGGCGGGGTGCAGCGCAGCAAAGGCAGCACCGGCGGGGCTCGGCGCGATGCTTGTCCCTAAAGTGCCCCCTGCCCGCGGAGCCGCCCCGCCGCGTCCATCAGCCGGGGCCGCCCACCCGACCGTCCCGCGCCCGACCGGAGAAGCGCGACCTGAGGCGGCCCGGCGCGAGACCAGAGGCTCGGGGACCCGGCCGGCACGCCCTGCGACCTCCCCGGAGAGCCAGCGGCCTCACCTGGGCACCCCGAGACAGGCGAGGCGGCCCGGGGCCCAACACCATGCCCCGCCCGCTCGGCGGCGGCGGCGAGACGCGGCCCCTCACCGCAGCACCGGCTCCGCGGCGGCGGGACCGGAAGTTGCAGGGCGGGGACTCGCCCGCTCTCTCGGGCGGCGGCGCGTCTGAACGGGCGCTTTAAAAAAAAAATCAAAATCCCGAAGAACTTTATTGGGAGCCTGACCCCCGAACAGCGGCCTGAGCCGATGAGGCGGAGCTTGGCGACGGCACGCTCGGTCCTCGCTGACTGGCAGAGGGGACGCCTGGGAGGCGGGCACAGATCTTGCGGCCCTCTATGATTGGCTAGTGGCGGCCAGGGGCGGGGCTGGGCGCAAGGCTGGGGCTGCCGAGTTTGATCCGGAGCCTAAGGGCCCAGCGCTTGGGCGTCTGCGTGGCTTTCGTGACCTCATTCATTTCTTCGGGCCTTGGTGCCCACAGCCTGCCCTGGAGCCGCGGCCAGGCCGGAGCTGACAGCCTCCGGGTGTGGAGCGCCCGCCGTGTGCCCGGCTCAGTGCCCGAAATGCAGAGGACCGGGCCTGCCCCGGCAGCCTGCAGTGTAGATGGATCGAGGAGGCCGGGGCGATGAGACGTGCAGACCGTCCCGCCGTGTGCCTCCCAGGAGCCTGCAGCGGACTGCGTGGATCCTTTCCTGTCCTCGCCTTATGACTTTTAGTACTCCTTTGATCTCTTTAAACATTTTTTTTCTAATTGTTGCGACTGTGTACAGCAGAACAAACACCAATCCAACAATTTCTACATGTACTATTCAGTGACATTGATTATATTCTTCAAGTTGTGCAACCATTCTCACCCTCCTTTTCCGAATTGTTCCTCTGGCTTAACATAAACTCACTTCCCCCAAACTTCCTCACCTACCTTTGGATTTGGTGTTGTCAATCTGATCCCACATAGACTGACTTCTTTAAAAGAGCGCGATGCTCAAGGCAGACATTCTTCACAAATTGTTCTCTTTCAAGCTTGTTGCCTACAAATCCTGCCCACGCATTGTGCCAGTGTCCCTGTGATTGGTAATGGCCGCCCTGGGGGGTC